ACAACCTGTCACTTGCGCGGACAACTTTGATTGGTTTACGTTAACTGTGTGTGGATTGGTTGTCAATCACATCAGCCAGCCAACCATCTCACATCGGTCTCGCAACGCCAGTTCCGCCAGTATTGTACCTTCCTCAATTGATTGATAAATCTATTGCTGTTCAGAAGTGTTCTACCTGCTTGGATTACGTGTCCCGGAAGCGTGCGTTACATGCTTAGCAGTACCACGTTTTAGCGGCGACGGAAATAACGAACACAATGTTGAACATCTACTATCGTTTGGTCACCTGCTGAGGAAAAACCGACCTTGTCAAACTGGATAAGATGGAGGAAATCATTCACTAACTATGTGGGATTACTTCCTGTACTGAATCCGACCGTTTGCTTCTCTGTATCTCACAAAATCAGATCATCCAGGCAAGTACCTGGCGATGAAGGTCAAAGGCACTACGATGCCATGCAGATGGAGAACTGCCACCCTCAATTCTGCTGTGGATACGCATACCACGTCATGGGGGCTGAAACAAAATGGTTACACCGGCAGATACTACTTTTCAAAAGTTGTTCAGAAACCGAACGAGTGTCAATGATTTTATTGCATATAGTCATCAATCTATTCCTGAGTGTAAGGGTAATGATATTCCACCTGGGAAAATTGAAGAGCAAGTGAAAATGCAACGTTTAGTCGCGGGAATATCGGACGAAAGTGTTAGAGAAGATACTATACTTGGATGAGTCGGCCGCTACAAGGGAAAACGTTTGTCTCACTGTTCGTCAACGGGAGAATATTATACACCAATTACGAGTTCACTGGTTGTCCGGTGGTTGATGATGTGCCCGCGGTCCGTAAACCAGACACCAGTGAACATCAAAAGCAATTCAGGTGTAATCGTTGCGGCTTGTGGCACGCCCACACTTTCGATTGCTAGCATAATGAAAGCATCTGTCTGAAATGCGGCAAGATAGACCATCTAGCTCGGGTGTGAGAGCGGAGAATTCCTGCCCGACGAACATCGCCTCATCGACTCATGAAAGCAAGATAGAGCGTCGTGAAGATGAGATCTTAGATGATTTGAACAGTGAACGAAACGCAGTGTACGTAAACAGTGTAACACTCAAAACTGTCCTCCTTACACAATACGTTTGACGATAGAGGATGAACCGATAGACATGGAGCTAGGACGTGGTGGGTTTTCGCCTGGCAAGCGTTCTCCCTATAAAAAGTCTCGAATATCCGCTTGAAAACACTGCGACATGGCGGATGTGACTCGACACTGAATAAAGTCACAGCTCACCGTTTCAAACTGGCGCAGCCATCAGACTTCTACATACAACCTGTGCAACCGATTTTACTATGGAGAATGCTTTGCTGGAGCACCGAACATTCCGTGTGTTTAATGGACCCTGGTTGCCCCGAAACCCTGCACCCGTGCTCATGGTTTACTACATAACAACACTGCAACGTGGCACGTTTGACTCGCCAATGAGTATAGTCACGGCTGAACATTTACCACTGATGCAGTCATCAGACTTCTACATACAACCTGTGCAACCGATTTTACTTTGGAGAATGCTTTGGTGGAGCACCGAACATTCCGAGTATTTAATGGACACTGGTTGCACCGAAATCTTAATTTGGCTCCTGTGACCATGGATTCCTACATGGCAAAAAAAACGCCGAACTTGAAGATTGACACAACGGTTATGGCTGATATTTCTGCGCCCCAGTGCCGTCATGTTCCTGGGTCGAGCTATTACCTGATAAAATGCTCACTCGTATGAACTACGAACATTTCGATTATACCTTTCATTGAAACGAAATGTTTTACTATTCCAAAGCAGCTATGCTTGTATGCGTATTTGATCGCGCCTTCACTGGTGTGCCACGTTTCACGGAGAATATACCATTTATTTATTTAGATACTGGGACAGCGGTTGCCATGGTAAACCCCAGTACCGCCTCTGCAACTCGAGATTAGAGACATACACCGGTGACCCAATTCAGGTGTTGGGTAGATGTTTCATTAAGGCTTGACACGAGGAACGAGAGTTAACGCTACCCTTAAGCGTTGTACCTAGGAACAAACGGAATTTCATGAGTCAAAATTGGATACAGTACTTGTCACGGAAAGTCAGCGTTCAGGCCGAGAGCAGTGGCGCAACAGTGGATCGATCTACAATTAGAGATGGAACGCAAATGAAGAGTGGAAATTCGAATCTATGTGGAATCAATGGCAAGTCGGACCAGGAACTCAGAACGTTTGATTTGTGTTAATAATATTAATTAGCATCTCCAATTTTGTTGTGCTATATAGGTTGTTTCAGGTATCAATCGCGTTATTTTTGTTCCCGGCGTCAGGCCCTTATTGCATACAACTCCGTGAGAATCAAAACTCTCCTACGACGCACGCGCTGCTGTTTCCTTGGGCGGGGCACGATAGGCGGAGTCGGTTGATAGTGCTGCTAAATGTGTGGAACGGCACCCACATGCAATTGCAGGACAGGTGTGGCCCGTATCTTCCAGCCGGCAAAAAACAACCCTATTTAGGGGGCGAGTCCAACGCCTCGCGCTTCCATTTATGGCTTCTTACCCCCTGCTTCCGGCTTCCGTTTGCTGCGGTCGCCCATTCCCCCCTCACGGTGACGAACGCCCGGGCAGTCCCACCAGATAAACTGGGACTGTCAGACGAGTCGGGCCTTTCGCGCAGGGCCAACATCGTAAGCTCCTTGACTAGGAACTAGACTGCCTGCCATGAGGATAATACCGACGGTGGAGCCTAGCTCAACCGTGGCGTCCCCCACGATCCAACTAGCGCAACACACATTCCTTACAAGCTCCCCCCCGCGCGTGTCTCTACACAGAGACCGTGTGGGGATACCTGGTGGACATGCTAGGGCGGATACCAGCCACACTGTGTGACATACGCCCTCACAGACTACCGATACAGGTGTGAGTCTACACGGCTCCAGTTTTACCAACGCCAGGTGCCGATCCATGTAGCGCTCTCCTTTCCGCGTAGAGGCTGTGTACGCCGTCCCTGCAGGAGTTTCCCCGATGGGGGTTTGTCCGCTCGTTGGCGAGTTTTCGCTGCCAAATGTGTGTTGAAGCGAATCACAGGCTCCCGGGGGCAGCCTTCGACATGCAGACTAATGTGGACAATAATATTCAAACCCCCCACCCCCCCCCCCCCCCCCCCCTCCCCCCCCCCCCCCCCCCCCCCCCCCCCTCCCCCCCCCCCCCACCCCCCCCCCCCCCCCCCCCCCCCCCCCCCCCCCCCCCCCCCCCCCCCCCCCCCCACCCCCCCCCCCCCCCCCCCCCCCCCCCCCCCCCCCCCCCCCCCCCCCCCACCCCCCCCCCCCCCCCCCCCACCCCCCCCCCCCCCCCCCCCCCCCCCCCCCCCCCCCCCACCCCCCCCCCCCCCCCCCACCCCTCCCCCCCCCCACCCCACCCACCCCCCACCCCCCCCCCCCACCCCCCCCCCCCCCCCCCCACCCCCCCCCCCCCCCCCCCCCCCCCACACCCCCCCCCCCACCCCCCCCCCCCCCCCACCCCCCCCCACCCCCCACCCCCCCCCCCACCCCTCCCCCCCCCCCCCTCATCCCGCCCCAAGTAAGCTTCAGGTTTGGGGCACTTCCGGATTATACCTGAATATACTCATAGAAATTTCTGTGACGGCCTCCGATGCTCGAATTTCCAGAGAATACAATAGTGGACAGCACCACCAAAGCATTGCGAAAGTTGGGATAGATACGGCCCTTACCTCCGTAATGAGGATATATGTTTGTGTGAACTTTAGTCAGGCACGGTCCGACAAAGGTTTTCCAACCTGGGATCTCTAGTTACACGCATAGTCTCAAGTGTGCGAAACAGGATGATTGCTGGTCATCAGTGAGGAAGTGACCACAAAAACCACTCCCACAAGGACTGGTGGGGAGTTGGTACACATGCTTCCCGGTTGGAATAAATTCAGCTAGAGCCCTATGCAGTATTTTCCAACGGGATCGCGGATACTCGTCATTGTTAAATCGATGTTCCCTCAGACCGTTACGCCGCTGCGCATTATATTACAGGACGCATACTGTATTCCTCTGGTTCACATGGTCGTCAGTGATGCGCCTTGGATTCACCCTGACAAACCTACTTGCTAGAACCTGTGTCTCGGAGCGTCTGCGCAAAACTAGTATAGGTGTTGACGTCTTTGCTCGGGTGATAAAACTAAGAACGAAAAAGACCAAACCGCGAAGGTTCTTATCCGATTCATCTATTGTTTCCTGCGGGTTTAGAGAGAAGGGGTGCAGTAAAAAAACTGGGTGATCAAATAGAAACTCGGCTTTGGCGGCATGTCCTGCAAGATAAAATATCGTCTATTGTGCAGGCACCTCAGCCCAACAATAGTAATGGATTACGATCGTTCCTAGCAATGTTGTCGCACTATCGTCGTTTCCTACCGGATGTTTCAACCATTCTTGCCCCATTGAACGAACTGCTACACAAAACACCCCGTGGATGTGGAAGAGCGTGCATCAATCTGCTCCTGCTTGTGCGAAGTAGTGCCTTCATTCCGCATCTGTCTTGGTCCATTATGATAGTGAAAAACCGTTAATCCTACAGTGGGACGCCTCTCCATACGGAGTCGGAGCAGTTCCATAGCACAGAATGTCGAATGGCGTCATTCAACCGATTGCGTTTGCCTCACGAACTTTACAACCCGTCGAAAAGAATTATTCCCAGTTGGATAAAGAAGCCCTATCAGTTAGAGTTGGCTTCAAGTGGTTTCAACTGTACATTTGGGGCAACTATTTCGAAATATAAACTGACAACATACCACTGATATCCTTGCTAAGCGTATCAAAGGGAATCGAGCAGATGTTTTCACCGAAAATACAACGCTGAGCATTAATAGTAAGTGAATATAAATATCGAATCTCCTATATTCCTGGACCGAACAATCATACAGCGGATGCCTTAAGTAGGTTACCAGATGCGATCCCAGACGAAATAGTGGAGGAACCAGTATAGCTGGTGCGTCTAATGCAACACTTTCACACCACTCCATTGACATGTGACGCCATACGTCAGTGGACCGATCGTGACCTCACACTATCCCCTGTAGTACGATTTACAAAAAAATGGACTGGCCATGCTACCAGTCCCCGGGTTGCATTATAAGCCTTTAAGGGATAATAGACGGAAATTGAATAGAACACATGAAATGAGGCCGACTGCAGCCATGAGAAGTTTGAGGTGTTCGGGAATCCCGAGATGATTCCACCGCACCGCTAATAGAAACGGCCGCTCCCCAGCCGGTTCAGTGCTAAAACCGAATTCACATCCAAGACGCCAGCCCGAATGAACAAGGCCCTTTGGTTGAGCTGCGGTTATCTTGCTGCGTGACCCATCGGCCCCCCGTAGATGACCGAGACTAGAGATACTACCTAATGTCAAACAATGTGGATATCAAATCGTAAAAAATCCCATTGATAAATGAAAACTCAAAGTTTTCAAGCGAACATATGTTTTCAATAATTCTTCGTCAGGCTTGTACAATTATATGCAAAAAAATAACCAAAATATAGACACAGCACACGGACTGGTAAAGCACGCAGTTCACAGTCAATGGTCACTATCAGTCACTGCCCCCTAGAACACAGTTGTAGCATGTGCACAATTCCTTGGTATGGACGGAGTAGTTCGTCTGGGCCAAGTCAAGCACAGCGTGTGAGTGAATCTTTTCTGGACGCACAGTTCTGGCTCGTATAGTCTGATCGCTAAACTCTCCGCCGATTCAAGTAAGCGCATGCGAACGCACTTTGATCGATTTGCAGGTGGTCGATAGATGACCTTAAATGCCTCGGCTAGATTGGGAGAATGGTCCGTGTCAGCAAGATGCGTGGCGATGGATGAGTTAGTTAGCTTTCGGCACCCAGTCGCAAGCCAGGCCGGATGGTGTTCTCTCACCCTATCAGACAGGCGCCTCGTCGTACGGCCAATGTACCCTGAACCACAAGAACAGGTGAATGAGTAAACACACATGGAATTGGCGTGGACAGGCCTTTTGTCTTTTGGGTTAGTTTTCACCATCGGGCTACTGGTGAAGTGAATCTGCATTTTGGCTGCTGGAAAGGTGTGCCTGAGAGCGCGGGAAATACGACGACTTAGAACTTCAGCTACGATTTCCCCTTTGTACGGTAATTGTAGAAAAATGGGTTTCTTTTCGGCTGTGAGGGTTACAGGAGATTTCCTCCTTGGCTCCATGTTGGCTTTAATGAATCCATCCGGGTACCCATTTTCCTTCAGGGTTAAGCGAATGCGCTGTAGTTCCTCAGATAATGTGTCATTCGAGCAAATTCTTTCCGCCCGACTCGTTAAACTGAAAATCAAGTTCCGTTTTGATCTAAGTGGAACAAAACTGTAGAAATTCGTGTATTGTCCGTTCCAGGTACGTTTCCTATACACCCCACGCTGTAGGGAACCATCATCGAGTCGCTTCATGTTCACATCGAGGAAATGAAAAGATCTATCTTCCTCCACTTCAGATGTAAACTTTAGCGCTGTGTGTGCCTGGTTAAATGTGTAAGTAAGGTCCTCGATGTTTCTGGAGGAATGGAGCAATATAAAGATGTCATCGACGTAACGGCAGTAGAGGCTAAGGCTTTCGATAACCGATCTTAACTTGCTCTGTT